TAGTTTCCTCCCGGTGATTATGGAACGTCACTAGTTTGGTTTTCCGTTACTAGTCTTGTGCCTGGGAAAGTTATGATTCTATCTCTTCTCTCCCAGCTGTGGGTTAAATAGCAGGACAGATTGGGGTTCTGTAGCCTTGTGATGGCAACCATTCTAGAGACACGATAAAATCACCCATCTCCCAGTAAGCCCAAAAAATCACTTAGGGGTCAAAATATTTTTAAAAACATCTTTTTTGACTGAAAATCTTTAGGTGTGTGATTTCATTCTTTTCTATAGCGTTTAATTTTTTTCCCTAGACTGGTTGCCAACCAAGGTTGAATGGACCAAACCTGGCGAAAGAAGAGATAAATTCATATCTTTCCAAGGGGCATTTGCGCTAAAAGAAGTGTAACGAAACTTGAGTGGAATTCGAACTCGACACTCAGATTTACCGTGCCAAGAGCTCTATCCATTGCAAATTTGACGTTGACCAGGCAAACGGTAAATTTGAATTTAATTTTTAGACTAAAATTTTCTTTTTTTTTTTTTCCACTTGTTTTATTTTATTTTCAATTTTCAAAAGACAAGGATTTTCCTCTGTTCTCGATGACCTAGCCAAGAAAAACAAAAAGCAAAAAAAAAAAAAAATCTCCTGTTAGGAGGTTGTCTAGCATTATAGGCGTAAAAGAGGACTGATATTAAATAGTTCAGTACTGTTTTATTTATTATCTGTCTCTATTTCGATGAGGTATTATGTACACTACTTACATATTACATATATAGACAGTGTGGACATACAGTTCAACACAGCATGGCGACTGTCAGTTTCAGTAGTCTGACGATCACATTGACTCAAACCAGTGAAAACTAGAAAGTCTGCCTCCTTATTAATTCAATGCAATGTTTGCCTTATATTCGATATTGATAATGTTAATAAAGGGCGTTCCAATAACTTGGATCGATTTTAAATGCGAATTTAAGCATCTAATCATTTTTCTTATTTTATTTTATTTTTTTTTCACATTTAACAACTTAAGTTTTTAGCAATTTCCACCATGGAAAGATTAACAATCAAACAACGAATCTGATTATATTCCTGAGATGAGGTATTATGTGCACTATTTACACTGTTCAGACTGTCGTCCTTATCTTTGTTGCCATATTTATCACAACGTTTCGGCCGTTGTACGCTCCGGCCTTCTTCAGGTGATTGGAATGTCAAACTGAACCCTTTATTTTGCTCGATGGGGTAGATTGTTCTAGTTCCACTTCCACGTTGTGTGTACGCCATCCTGTGCAGCTGTGGAAAGAAATATAAAGGGGAACATGGACCTTAAATTGCCTTCAAATACAAATAAAATGTGTAACACCAGGAGAAGTGGAAAAATAGGTTGGCTGAACACATATGGAGAGAAAAATTTAGATCAACAAAAACTCTGTGAGATCAAATTGAAATCATGAACAAAGAACATCAATGGAAAATTTTTAATTTTTTCTTTGTCAGCTCATATGCTATTGCCACAAAAAAATCCTGAGCCGACCAAGCATAGAAATGAATACACTAATTTGGAACCAGTAATAAGGAGTGCCAGAAAAAAGCGATTATAATTACGAAAATTGCAATATGAGCTCTGGTAAAAAACATGCAATGATAACAGCAAAAATTGCATTATGAGCAAAAAAATAGTTACTGAAGACATTAGGTTTATAAGTCTCAGAAATTCAGTTGTCTTCAAGGACACATGGCACAGTGGATAAAGGCGTTGGTTAGATCCTGTGACAGGACCCAAAGAGTGTGAGTTCAATACCTGGTTAAGGCAGTGGAGAACTTGGAGAGGGGAATTAACAGGAGATAACTAATAACTCACTAGAACCGTCTACCCCAGTGAGGGGAAATAAAGGATTCAGTTCGACATTCCAACCACCTGGAGAAGGCAACAAAAATGAGAACGATAGTCCGAACAATGTAAATAGGGTTTCCTTTATCTGTCTATATCCCTGAAATGAGGTATTATGCTTACTTGCATTATTTACCCAGGTGGACGAAATAAAGGATTCAATCCAAAATTACAATCACCCGGAGAAAGCCGGAGCGTACAACGGCCGAAACTTTGTGAATATGGCAATGAAGATGAGAATAATGTGACTAATGCAAGTACTGATTTCTTTGTTTCTAACGAAATTTTCCGGTTTCCTAATTTTGTGATGTCAATGAGCACTCGTTGCCACTTTGGTGATGTCAACGAATACTCGTTGTCACTTTCGAAATGCTCGTTGTAGTAGAGACTTTGTAATCGTAGATACAACTATAGTAACGCCGTTGAACAATACTGGTGTCAGACGCCTTCGAATAACACACGTACTAATAGTACTTGCTCGATAATACTCGTTCGGAAAGTAACGACCGTATAGTGATCCGAATAGTAATCTGTATTGTGAGATATTCACTAACCGACCCACGTGGTCGGATGTGGCACAAAGGTTGAGTATATTGTGGGGTACCCGAGCCAAAAATTCCCAGTAGACCCCGTAAAAAACGAGGTCAGGTAGCTGTCTCCCGAGACGAAACTCTGCCCTTCGACAGAGCCTCGTCTGGGGGGATCCTCTGTGCCCGGAGGCAGAGAGTTTGACCAGCACACTTCCGAAGTAATCGGGATAGAGAGGTATTCACTAAGCGCTCCACGCGGTCTGATGCGGCAGAAGGTCAAGTTTATTGTGGGGTATCCGAGTCCCTAAGCTTGGTTTAAAATTCCCCGTAGAGCTCGCAAAAACGGGCTTGGGTAGCTGTCTACTACCCCAGACAACACTCTTCCCTTCGACATAGCCTCGTCTAGAGATTCTCTCTGCCCGGAGGCAGAGAGTTTGACCAACACACTTCCGAAGTAATTCGGAGAGTGAGATGTGGCACTAGTCCAAGTTTATTGTGGGTTATCCGAGCCTGTAGGCTCGTGTAAAAATTCTCCGTAGACCCTGTAAAAACGGGGTCAGATAGCTGTCTACTACCACAGACAAGACTCTGTTCTTTGATTACACCCTGTCACTTCCAAGGCGGCTTGAGACCTAATTGGGGTCCCAAGTCAGGCAGGCAAAAACTTTTCTCATAATTGAGGATTAAAGCTATAAGTAAACCTCTATAAATGCTTTATTTCCATGATCTGATCAAAAATAATGCAACAAACATATTCAGTTGATAATGCAGCAACATAAATCAGTATTTACGGTTACGCTCACGAATCGCCATTTAGGTCTTGTCATAGGGAAATGCTTTTGAAACTTTCATAATAAGATCTTGAACTCTCTAATATTATTTCTTCCTAATAATGACGTAATAATGTCGTTTTTTGACGTTAAAAAATACGTCAAAAAACGACATTATTACGTCATTATTTTTGCACCAACCTAATAATTATGTTTTTTTTTTTGTTTTTTTTTAATAAGGTGTTTCTAAAATCAAAATTATGTCCAGTTTTGTTCCTGTGTATTATGAATAATTTTAAAGATTTGTCCCAACGTAGATCCCATTTATGGTTGGAGATAGGGGATTTTATAGTTCAAGATTTATTATTTGGTGCAAAAAATATTGACGTAATCATGTCGTTTTTGACGTTAAAATACGTCAAAAAACGACATTATTACGTCATTATTTTTGCACCAACCTAATAATTATTTTTTTTTTTTTTTTTTTAATAAGGTGTTTCTAAAATCAAAATTATGTCCAGTTTTGTTGTGTATTATGAATAATTTTAAAGATTTGTCCCAACGTAGATCCCATTTATGGTTGGAGATAGGGGTCTTTTATAGTTCAAGATATCTATTAATTGTGCAAAAATAATGACGTAATCATGTCGTTTTTTTGATGTTAAAAATACGTCAAAAAACGACATTATTACGTCATTATTTTTGCACCAACCTAATATTTACAATACATAAAGTCTTTTCGATACAAAATAACAATACGTACCCGATGATGCAAACATTCTAGTGTGTGCTCCTCACATCATTACGCTAATTTAGACATCTATGCATTTACCCCGGTCTATGAGACAAGGATGAAAACCAGAAAAAAATGAAAGACGGAAAATATATTCCATTATTCATTGAGGAACATATTTGGGATCTCATAGCGAGAAATCGTTAACTAACCCCCAAGAAAATGACTCCTTGCACCTTCTTGGAAAAGCTGCAGGTGTCTTCACCGTTCGAGACTTATACGGTCGAGAAGTTCCTTTAACCAGGCTACAAAACACTGACTGCATAATTCTATTGCCATCAGTGATTCTAAGAGAAATTTTGCAAGGTGGTACAAAAGCATCTATGCATCTACCCCGTGCTGTGGGTAAGTATTGGCTAGTCACCCTTCTCATAGGCACTGATGGGAAATTGTGGAAAGTCATAATCACCAATGCCCCGAAAGGATGCGGCACATAAAAGTTGAAATGGCTAGATGTAACCGTGAGTTCTATGCTAACAGTTTCTTTTCTTGCCCTTCTCGCTTGTGGAACTCCCTTCCGGCTCCGTGCTTTCCTACCAACTTTAATCGGCAAAAATTTAAATAAAATGTCAGTCGCTATCTACCGTCCTCCTGATTACTCTTATCTCTTCCCGCTCATTAGTAATAGAATTTGCTTGGGAATGAAAACGATTTAAAAAAAAAGAAAATGAATAAAATAGCGAAACAGCAAGATGATTGGTGATGTGTTGCGGATGCAATCGACAAGACCTGTGAGAACCTCTTTGGAGTGGAAGCCGGATGGGGTACGTAGACCGTGTGGCTGACCATTGAAGACCGCAAAAGGGAGACTGCAGAGGAAGACCACAGAGGAAGACCTGGATTAGATGGGTCTGACCTGGAGGGAAGATGCCAAAGAATCCTTGCATCGTGCTCGATGGTGAGCTCTTGTCACCCAATGTACCATAAGGAAATAACTTACATTCAGACCAGGCTCCTAAGATCGTTGTTGTCATAAAACGTCGGTCATTGTACCCTCCGACGTATTTCAGGCGTTTTAAAGAACTACGAATGTAGATAGATAGATAGATAGATAGATAGATAGATAGATAGATAGATGAAAAAACTAAAATAGAGAGAGAGAGAAAACCCTAAAATAGATAGATAAAAGAAAAAACTAAAATAGATAGATAGATAAATAGATAGATAGATAGATAGATAGATAGATAGATAGATAGATAGATAAAACCCTCAAATATATAGACAGAAAGATAGATAGATAAAGGGAAAAAAATGAAATAGATAGATAGATAAAGGAAAAAGCTAAGATAGATAGATAGATAGATAGATAATGAACATACTGAGATAGATAGATAGATAGATAGATAGATAATGAACATACTGAGACAGATAGATAGATAGATAGATAGATAGATAGATAGATAGATAGATATTGAATAAATCAAGATAGATAGATAGATAGATAGATAGATAGATAGATATAAAACCCTCAAATAGATAAAGGAAAAAAAATAAAATAGATAGATAGATAGATAAAGGAAAAAGCTAAGATAGATAGATAGATAGATAGATAATAAACATACTGAGATAGATAGATAGATAGATAGATAGATAGATAGATAGATAGATAGATAGATAGATATGCATACATCATATACTGAAAACTATAGATTCCAAGTTAAAAATTCTACCTGTCAAAAGTATCCACACAGACTTGTGGGTGATGAATTATTTTCCAACCTGCAACCCCTTTCCTACGAAAGAAACGTTGCAAGCCACTCGTTAATCTATCGCTATTTCCTTGGCATGCATTCGAACCAGCTACATTCCTTCGTCTCGCCACCTACACAAAGTCGAATCACCAGAATTCCCTTCGTATTCCATTAGTAAGGAGGAAGTTCCACTCAGACATCATCTTAACAAGAACTGTTGCTTTGTAGAACAGACTCCCGACAACGAGTTTTCCCAATCACTACAATCTTGACCTCTTCAAGTCTAGGGTTAACCGTTTTCTTTCCTGAATAAACCCAATGAATTTCTCTTTTGCCGTTTCTTAATTTTTTAATTAACCTCTACCTTGAGTTGCTTTTGGGTCTTGTAATGGGTTAACATTAGTATAAAAATATTACAAGGCCTATGTTTCTAAGTGAGGTTTTGAAATCACATCCACCTCCCATCCGATTCACTCACACCTGTTCTCGTGTCCGATTAAAATCGACGGGCGTCCCGGGTATGGCGATAAACTATATTCAGCAGCAAGGTCTCTGATCGGGGGGATTGTAGGTTTTAAGGAGCCTGGAACCACCTTTTAACTGCTGTTGTTCCAAGTTCCAAATGACTCGGGGTGGCAGTACCTGTTAGGATCCCAGCTATGGGTAAATAGTTACTTTCAAACTGGGACCAAAACACCATGAAAGAATAAAAATACATTTTTGTAGTAAAAATACCAGCAATACATCACATCCTGTTGCTATCGTTAATTCCGTGGAATCTGTTCCGACGAACAACATTCCTTAATCCATACATTCCTGATCTTTACAATTGGGACCTGCTATGCCACATACACAAGTATAAATCATTGCCATTTCCTTTCATATTCCAATAGTAAGGAGGAAGTTCCACTCGGATAACATCTTCCCAAGAACTGTTGCTTTGGATGTTTTCCCAATCACTACAATCTTGACCTTTTCAAGTCTAGGGTTAATCGTTATCTTTCCTGTATAAACCCAATGAATTTCACCGCTAGCGTTTTCATTCGTTCACACAACACTACAAAGTATCCCTCTACATAGAGTGGTTCATGAGCCTTGTATGTGTGAACGTTAGTATGACAAAACGAGGATTGTTTGTTTTGCCGGACCATCGGAAGTTAGGCAATAACAATTCAATAATACGGAATAATTACGTTTTCCATCGGTATTACCACAGAATTATCAACCATTAGAAACAATATTAAACCATTTTTAACTACATCGCCACCTGCGACCGCCGGATGAATACTTGCTCGAAATTTAATGTCCGGATGAAAAGAGGTACTAGATCATATGTTACCGGAAACTGGTAGTCACGTGAGCCCCCTCCCCCCCTCCACACACACACACACACACACACACACACACACACACACACCTTTATTCTTGTCTCTCCCCACCTCGGGGGATTCTGTTCCAAAGACAAGTTTACATCGGGGCTCAACCGAGTTTATTTTTCGGGTGAGGCGACCCCCACGCTTGGGCGACTGCGTGGCAAGAGGCGAGCAACGTGATGTAGAGGGCGTATCGGGTATCAGGCGAGCTCGGCAAGGTCACTGGGTGACGCCCGGCACCTGCACGGTGGGGCCACCATTTCAAGGTTGCGTACACCGATTTACACTGCCCGAAAACACGTCTTTCCTCTGAGACGCCCGGCTGAAGTAAAAGAAAAAGAAAAAAAAAAAATACTGAATACATTTTACTTTCGATCGTCTTTTTCATTTCTTTCTTTCTTTTGGTTACATTTCTCTCTTTCATTCTTTCTTTTTCAATTCCTTCCTTTCCTTCTTCTTCTCATGCTCGCATATCTTCTTCTTCTTCTTCTTCTTCTTCTTCTTCTTCTTCTTCTTCTTCTAGCAGTAGTAGTAGTAATTATTATTATTATTACACTTTTTACATTTACTTTTTCTTACTTCTTCAACATTTCTATTTCGTCTTCATTCGATTTAAATTCTTCTTCACATTTTTAATTTCTTCGTTTCGGTTCCTTATTTTCTCCTTTTTATTTCTTCTTTTTCTTCATATTCTTTTCCAAATTCTTTTTTATTTTTTTCTACTTCTTCTTTTGCTCCTTCTTTTTTAAAAACATTTCCTTCTCCCTGCGTTTGCATTTCTCCTTCTTTCTTTCTTTCTTTATTTCTTTCTTTCTTTCTTTCTTTCTCGCTTTCCTTCTTTTTTTCTTTCTTTCTTTTTTTCTTTCTTCCTTCCTAGCTTTGTTTCTTTCGTTCTTTCTTTCTCGCTTTCCTTCTTTTTTCTTTCTTTCTTTTTTCTTTCTTCCTTCATCGCTTTCTTTCTTTCTTTCTTTCTTTTTTCTTTCTTTCTTTTTTCTTTCTTCCTTCCTCGCTTTCTTTCTTTTTTCTTTCTTTTAAGACTTTCCTCGCTTTTTTTTCTTTCTTTCTTTTCTTTCTTTTCTTCTTTTTTTTTTTTTTTTTTCTTTCTTTCTTTCGTTTCTTTCTTTCTTTTTTCTTTCCTCGCTTTCTTTCTTTCTTTCTTTTTTCTTTCTTTTTTCTTTCTTTCTTTCTTTCTTCCTTCCTAGCTTTCTTTCTTTTTTCTTTCTTTCTTTCGTTTCTTCATTCTTTTTTTTTTCTTTCCTCACTTTCTTTCTTTCTTTCTTTCTTTTTTCTTTCTTTTTTCTTTCTTTCTTCCTTCCTAGCTTTCTTTCTTTTTTCTTTCTTTCTTTCGTTTCTTCATTCTTTCTTTTTTCTTTCCTCGCTTTCTTTCTTTCTTTCTTTTTTTCTTTCTTTCTTTCTTTCTTCCTTCCTAGCTTTCTTTCTTTTTTCTTTCTTTCTTTCGTTTCTTCTTTCTTTCTTTTTTCTTTTTCCCTTTATTTTCTTTCTTTCTTTCTTTTTTCTTTTTTTTTTCTTTCTTTTATTTTCTTTCTTCCTTCTTTTCTTTTTTTTTCTTTTTCTTTTTTTTTCTTTCTTTTTTTTTTCTTTCTTTCTTTCTTTTTTTTTTTTCTTTTCTTTTTTTCTTTTTCCTTTCTTTTTTCTTTCTTTTCTTCTTTCTTTCGTTTCTTCTTTCTTTCTTTTTTCTTTTTTTTCTTTCTTTCTTTCTTTCCTTTCTTTTTCTTTCTTTCTTTCTTTCTTCCTTCTTTAGCTTTCTTTTTTTTTCTTTCTTTCTTTCTTTCTTTCTTTCTTTCTTTTTTTTTCTCCTTTCTTTTTTCTTTTTTTTCTTTTTTTTTCTTTTTTTCTTCCTTCCTTCCTTTCTTTCTTTTTCTTTCTTTCTTTCTTTCTTTCTTTTCTTTCTTTTTTTTCCTAACTTTCTTTTTTTTTTTTCTTTTTTTTCTTTCTTTTTTTTTCTTTCTTCCTTCTTTTTCTTTTTTCTTTCTTTCTTTCTTTCTTCATTTCCTTTTTTTTTTTTCCTTATTTTTCTTCTTTTCTTTTCTTTCTTTCTTTTCTTTCTTTTCTTTTTTCCTTCTTTTTTTTTTTTTTCTTTCTTTTTTCTTTTCTTCTTTTTTCTTTTTTTTTCCTCCTTTTCCTATTCTTTTTTTTTTCTTTCTTTCTTTCTTTCTTTCTTTCTTTTTTCTTTCTTTTTTCTTTCTTTTTCTTTCTTTTTTTCTTTCTTCTTTCTTTCTTTTTTTCTTTTTTTCTTTCTTTCTTTTCTTTCCTTTTTTCTTTTTTTTTCTTTCTTTCTTTTTTTTCTTTCTTTCTTTTTTCTTCTTTCCTTTTTTCCTTCCTCGCTTTTCTTTCTTTTCTTTTTTTTTCTTTTCTTTCTTTCGTTTCTTCTTTCTTTCTTTCTTTCTTTCTTTCTCATCTCCACTCATTTCCTCTTCATACAATTTTTTCATTTTCTTAATTTTCTCCAATTTCTTTTTTTTGGCATTTTTCTTCTCTTTCTTTCTTCTTTCTCGTCCTCGCTTTCTTTCTTTCATTCATTCTTTCTTTCTTTCTTTCTTTACCACTTCCATTTGATTTTCGGTTTTCTTTCACCTCCTCCAATTTCTTTTCTTTTTTATCCTCGCATTTTTTTTCTCTTTTTCATTTCTTTTCTTTTCTTTCTTTTCTTTCTTTTCTTTTCTTTCTTTCTTTCTTGCTTTTTTTCTTTCGTTCTTCACCTTCCTCTTTCTTATCATTCTTCTTTACCGCATTTCCCATTTTTCTTTTTCCTCACTTTCTAATTTTTTTCTCCTTTACATTTATTTTTTCTTTCTCACTCTCGTCATTTTTATTTTTCTCTTTCATTCCTTCTTTCTTTCTTTCTTTCTTTCACTCTTTCTTTCCTTCTTTCTCGCTTTCTTGCTTTCTTTCTTTTTCTTTTTTCTTTCTCTTTTCTTTCTTTCTTTCTTTCTCTTTGTTTCTTTCTTTGTTTCTTCTTTGTCTCTCTTTCTTTCCTTCTTTATTTCTCAATTTTTATTTCTTTCTTTCTTACCTTATCTCTTTCGTTCTCTCTTTCTTTCTCTCGCTTTCTTTCTTTCTCTCTCTCTCTTTCTTTCTTACTTTCCCTCTTTCTTTTTCTTTCTTTCCTTCTTTCTATTTTCTTTCTTTTTCTTTGTTTCTTCCTTTGTTTCTTTCTTTATTTCTCTTTCTTTCCTTCTTTCTGTATTTTTTTTTCTTTTTCGTTTCTCTTTCTTCTCTCTCTCTTTTTTTTCTCTTTTTTTTTCTTTTTTCTCTCTCTCTCTTTTTTTTCTTTTTCTTTTCTTTCTTTCTTTCTGTTTCATTTTTGCTCTCTTTCTTTCGTTCTTTCATTCTTTCTTTCCATCTTTCTTTCTTTCTTTTTCTCTGTCTGTCTGGCTATCTTCCTCACCTACCTTAATCTTCATTCAATTTTTCCTTTTCCTTTCTTCTTCTTATCTTCGCGTTTCTTCTGTGTTTTCGTTTTCTTAATTGTTTTTCTTTGGTTTCTTATTCATCCCTTTGTTTTCTGTTGATTCGAATCTCTTCTTCATCCGATATTACATAACCTATTCAGTCCTCATTTTCTGTCCCTTAATACTTTGCTTAGCTTTTGGACAGCATCTTTCCGTCCTCTATTGAAACACTTCCCAGATATACAAATTTTTCTCTTTGTTTTTGTATTATGATACATGCTTGATTTTGATGTCTCCAATCTGTAATTTGCAAGTTGGGCTGTCCCTTTTGCTAACAACCAGGCATTCCGTGAGGAACAGTAATATAGAACTGTTCGTTACTATCAAACTCTCTGCCTTGTGTAGAGAGGAACCCGGATGAAGCTGTGCCGAAGGGCAGAGATTCGCCCGGAGAGGTAGACAGGCCCGGACCCGTTTATGCGCGTTCTACGGGAATATTTTTGACCGAGCCTACGAACTCGAACAACCCACGGTAAACTCGACCTTGTGCCACATACATCCCTCGTGGGAGGGCTGTTAAATATTAACCAGGCTTTCCGTCTTTTTTGCAATCGATGTTTAGTCCTTTATTCTCGCATTCCTCCACTGCTCGGACGAACTGCATTCCTTGGTTCCACCAGGTCTAAGTTACATGCCTAGGATCCGCCATGGCACTTACGTACCAAACCACCCACATGCCTTCCGTATTCCATCGGTGAGAAATTCTGTTCGAAAAGCTTCTCCTCGCGAACCACTGCATTGTGGAACAGACTCCCAAGAGGATGCTTTCGCGATCTCTACAATCTTAACTTGTGCAAGTCTAGAGTTAACCGTTACATTCCCCTCCTATTCGTATAAACTGTTTCTTAACGTAACACCTCTACCATAAGAGGCACCTGGGTCTTGTACAGGGTGAACGTTACTGTAAAAAAAAAAAAAAAACTCTGTCGGAGATCTTGTAGTTTCCGTTATTACTTATTCGTCATGATTAAAGTGTCCTCTTTGCAGTTGATATTTAGTCCTTTCTTCTAGCTGTCCTTTTTCCCTCTTTGCACTACATATTCTCTCCATTAAATCCTCAGCATCCTTCTGTTGCTTCAAGTCTCTTCTTCATTCTGTGTAGTGATTGTCCAGCATTCACTGCCATATAGGAGGAGAGATATTACGTAACAGTTCAGTAATATTTTCTTTGTTTCTGTTGCTTCAAGTCTCTTCTTCATCTGTGAGGAGATTGTCCAGCATTCACTGACATATAGGAGGACTGATATTACGTAACAGTTCAGTACTCTTTCGTTTGTTTCTGTTGCTTCAAGTCACTTCTTCATCTGTGAGGAGATTGTCCAGCATTCACTGCCATATAGGAGGACTGATATTACGTAACAGTTCAGTACACTTATCCTTGTTTCTGCTGCTTCAAGTCTCTTTTTCATCTTCAGGAATTGATAGTAAGTGATAGTAAGTTAATGTCTCATTAAGTCTTGTTAGCGAAATTTCGCCATTAATCCCATTGCTATTTAATTCTTTGCATAAATTGTTTCTTTATATATATATATTAACAGTATTACTCGCTTAAAAAACATCGGATGATTCAACTTGTAGACACCTGAGGGCAAATTGGTACCCGAGGAAAAAACAGGAAGTAAAAAAAGAAAAAACTAAAAACATCAGAACAAAGCGAAAATCGTCATGTGACTTAAGTTCCTAGTCCCCACCCCCCCAAAAAATAAAATAAATAAATAAAACCCAAACAAGTACAAAGACTACGAAAACGTAAAGGGCTCAATACGCTAAGTAGAGCGGTAAATCCTAACGACCCTTCTTACATGGCTCGTTAGGATATATATATATATATATATATATATGAACGGGATGCGTTCTTATTTGCCTTCTGTTTTGATATTTTGCTGGGAAT